AACGTAAAGGATTTATCTATACTGTATACAGAAGCAAGCGTATAAAAATGTCCAGGTGTATTTCCGTTATTTTATAACTACCCTCACCAATAATCTTATAACATAATGAAGTCAAGTTTTTCTGTAAGCGGAAGATTCAATCTAATTTATAATCTCCAAAGATTAGTACGTCTTTTTTAATTTAACTACATAAAACCGCCATCAAGCTGGTGTGTCTTTGTTGTGACATGCATCCTATTTGAACCCAGACATAATATTTAATTTCACTGATCTGATTACTAATTATATTATTTAGTTTTATTTTTCAATTCCAGAATCATGAATCTGTGAGGGTGAGTTGGGATTATTAGGTAATTAATAAATGGATCGTTTCTCGGTTTTCGAATTATTAACGGGCTCAGTGTTCAAAATGAGATTGGTCCCGCACTGCACTACTGCGAGCTTGGGCATGGTGACCACATACTGGGCATCCATCCAGGGACCGACGTTGAAAAGTGAGGTCAGACAAATCAATAGGATGCACAATTTTTCAATAAAGTAATTTGGCTCTTTGCGCCCTCTCCGTGAGGAATGACCACGCCGTCTCTCCGATGGTGATGCTGATCATCTGTCGTATTTACCGCACAGGGCACCGCTCGAAAACAAAACATGGGAGACTCACCTAAATTATAATTTTAAAAATAATTATATAGTATACCAAGAGAAATTTTATTTCAACTCATGTATAAATATTTTTAAAAAGTACTTTCAAAATAAACCAAACACTCCAAAATCTTTAAAAAAAATTATTAATAAGTTTTAATAATAAGTAAACAGTTGTCATTTATTTATTGTCTTAAAACTTATTATTGCAAGTTATTCTGTTATTATTAAAATTTTTTGGTAATTATACTTTTTACTTAAAACTCTGTAGTAACTCTTAAAAGACACAAATACTAACATAAGTCACACTTTTATTGCATAACATCTTAGGTGATTTTAGTATATTTTGAAATCAATCAATTGATCTGAGCTAAAACATTACCAACGTAATTAATGTGAAGATAATTCGTCTTGAAAATTATAAAATCACGTTCATGATCGGGAACTGAAAACGAACAAATTGCCAGTGATGCTAGAATTAAACAAGCAAATCTACCATATTCTCCTGATAATAATTTCACCTGATGCCTAATTAGTTCCGAACTTCACTTATTACTGTTATTCCTTATATATGAAATAAAATATGTAAACCAAACTACAAACTTGCCATAATTAACCCGCGGACAGATGAATACTATTATGGTTCTTGACGTTTTCTGTATTTTATTATTGTCACTTTAAATTTTCAATTATGTTAACTATTTTATTATTTAATCAAAGTAAAAGTCCATCTTTAGTATTTCAACTTCAGCTAAATTTTATTTTAGTTCCTTATTTTTTATAAAGCGCCTTTTAAGCTTTTTAATCCTAACACTATTGACAAAAATGTTGACATTCTTTTTTTTTTTCCCAGAGTTGACGTTCACATTCTAGATACTAATATATCAAATTTAATTTTAAAAATAGTAATGGTTGCTACAAAAATAATTTGAGACAAATACTGTTAGGATTAAAGGATAACAATATATTTACGAAATCAAGAAACTAAATTAAGATGTTATATATAATTAGAATAAAAAAATTATGCAATGTTTATAATATAACTACGAAAACATTTTGTCAAAATGTAGGTTTATCTATTAGCTTTTTTTTTTTCAATTTTGTGTGCAAAATCTAAATTGACGACTATTATTCAGAATGGAGGATGCTAAAATTCCTTCATGTCCATATTTGAATAATGTATTCGAACAAGGAATAAAAACATAAAAAATCTTGCAAAAAAAAAAAAAGAACTGAAGAATGTTTTATTTATTTTTTTGATTGCCCAGAATATTTTCTTATCTGAATGGTAAGAGACTAATTTCTCATAATACTATTAGATGCCATAATGAAGACCCCTCCTAAAAAAATACACACCATTCTAAAGATCAAAATGAGAATATGATGTTTAAAATGTCCAATTCTCTTCTAAATTGACCAACACTTGTTGGTAAATGTTTTATATTTTTTACCACACTAAACTGGCTCTTTAGTTTCTCTTGTTTTTTTTTTTTTAAAGAAAAAAAGGACGCTTCGAGCATCTTCCGAGGGTCGCTTTTCACACAGGGTTGAGGGCCCATGACCCGGGCAGCCCTTTTACCTTTCCGATGCCGAGGCCCCACTCCAGTCTCTCTCAAGGACGTCGACCCCACCTCCCGCTTTTTTATGTATATTCCTGCTTTTACATTTTTTGAAAAATCACATGGACGTCTAATCATCTGCATCATTGAATTGAATGTCGATTGTAAATTATTAATACTTTTTTAATTTTTAATGTTGGGCCTAATTTAAAATTTAGTATTTTTTAATAATAATTAAGCAGTGGAGAAAGAGAGTACGTGATCACCAGTGGCGCAGAGCTCCCGTTCATTAAAGCCCCCGGTGTTTGGCCTTCACAAAACTTCAACAATGATCGTGCGGTTAAACAAGGGTTGTTCACATGCCATCGGTCCGGATTGTCTCAGCGGCGCGTCCCTCAGCGTCTCAATATCTACCATCAGATTAATCTATAAGCTCATAATATGCCACATCATCAAGCTATTAAAAATTTAAAAAATCTAATTAATGCTATAAAATTGCTTTTTAAAAAAAAAAAGAACTATTTTTTTGAAAAAAGAAATTTGAGTGCACCATCTAATTTCTTGGATCTATTTGTTTTAATTGTAGAGTTTAATAAGAGTTCAAATTAATATAAATTGAGTCAGATAGAATAATAAAAAGAGGTAGAGTTTTGCCATCAAATATTTTAATTAAAAATTCTAAAAAATAAAATACTTGATATAGTTTTGCCACTCTTTATAGTTCTGTCTAACTCGATCTGTATCATATTGAATTTAGATAAATCTTCCAGTTTAAGATGAATAAATCCAAAAAATTATATATAAACATATGATGGTTAAGGTTTTTTATTCTTTATGATTATCTGAATAAGTCTGGAGTCTAAACATTTCATAAATTTTTTAACTAAAATAAGTCTGGTGAAAAAAATTGGATATTTCATGCTAAAAATATCCTAGTCGAAATCTAGTAAAAAATTCTACACTATATTTAATATTTATTTCTAATTTTTAATAGCACCATGATGTGGCATAATATAATCCGCGCTAGATTTATTTTAACGGCTGCGATTTGGACGCTGAGAGTATCCTCTTCCCATGCCATCACTCATCAATTTTATGCTCGGAAACTCTTGGCAGGTCACATCTCTCATTAATCGTGAGCCCTGTAAATTTATAGTTTCTTTATTTAAATCTACGTGTGGCGTATAAAATATGCCTATTGAAGTACTTAAAGTGAAAGTACGTTTGTGTTTTTTGGCCACATCTGCTACCTTAATACTGATATAAAATATATTCAAGCGGGAAAATTGAAATAAAAATATAAACCCTGTGACATTATCTAATGACTAATATCACTTTTTTGCCCAATATAATTTTGTGCACTGCAAGGAGCGCCAAGCTAATTATAGTACATAAAATATGAAGAATCCATACTACAGCAACAACGCGTTTATTTGTTTTTTTTTTTTAATTGCTGCACATAGATATACAGACAATGTCAAATATTAAATGTGAACATCTTTTTTATATGTATTCAAATCTTGATTCATTATATAATAAAGAATTATTAGCCTTGTTTAAGTCGATATAGGTTGTTGGAATTGTCAATACGTTGACACGTAAAACTGTATGTGGGCCTGACATTTTTTTCTGGGCGTCCACGACGAGGTTCACGCCAATGAGGTTAAACCCAACATGAGAGCTTTTGTGTTTTGGGGCAGAATCGGCCTCCACCATGGGCTTCACAAGGATGCAGAAACATCACCCTCTGCCATATTGGCCTCCTTTGGTTGAACGGTAAAAATTTCTTACGAATATGTTTGATGTAAGTCGAAACAAAACTCTTCTCACGTACTTATCTTGTATTCCGTAAGTCACTATTAAAAAATTACTTATAAACTACTCCAAACAGGTCCATTGTCTTCCGAGTAGTCCCTTCCAACACTGCCACCCTCTCATTCATCCATCACGCACGTCTTCTTCCTGTAGAATCACATTCAATCATTACTGGCACTTCCTAAATTCCTCACTATTTCTTTTCTCATCCAAATCAACCGCCCCCCAACCCTAAAAACGTTATTTGTCTGTCTTAAATCGTAAGGATGTGACCCCCCCCCCCCCAAAAAAAAGAAAAAGAAAGCTGATGTTTATATTTGAAACATGCCAAACACAGAATAAGTATATACTTCCCACGTACGTCCTTCACAGTTTGCCAACAAGCAGCTGCTTTGGTACTTCCTAGATTGCAACAGAGATTTAATTTGGATCGACCTGCGCTTTTTCTGATCTCCGGGCGATGCACGTTATGAATCGCGTTACGTAACAGATGAATTCTTTAGCTTCTTCCACAGTCTTGTGTTTAGATTAAGGATAAGATCGCCAAAATTTTACTTGATTTTGTAGGTGGCTTGTCATAGAGATAGATATAATTGCTTTCCATAGTAATTGCTTAGCTTGATCGCGACGCTCTGAGTCTTGAGATACAACACCGGTAAACTTGAAGAAATTTTTTGACCTCGTGTGTCACTGTTCCTGATCAAACTTCAGAACGTTATATGATTCTACATACATCAGTAGGCGAGCATTTAATTTTAATATTGATTGTTTATAGTAATCTGAGACTATTTTCCATTGACTTCAGAGAAATGCATTTACTGGCCAAAATATCCCTTCGGTTACTTGTCGCTGAAGAAAACAAAACATTCATATCTTATTTATAAAAACACACGTATAGGATGCACCTCCGCTCATGAAGTTTTGAATTAACAGGTAGAAGACGGCAATGTTTGTATTTCCCGGAAAGACAAAGACACGTACTATTTAATCATCAGTTTCTTGATAGGCCAAATCCCAGATGGATGTATGTTGTTGGGCATCAGAATTGTGTTGGTCTGGAAATTGATTCCAGAGGTCGCGATCATCTCGTACCATCTCAAGTGCAGAACGCAGTTCCATGCTGTCAATCCCATCTAGCCAATAGCCTCCATAATCTCCCTCTGCATTCAAATAATTCATCTCATTAGCTTTTTCTAGCTCCTTGTTCATCCAATCTGCAACGCTTGCCATTTGTGCATCACTCGACAGATAATCACACAAGGCAACCTGCCGGAAAGCCCAGGCAGCACCGCCTGGGAATCCCGCACTTAATTCACTCGCATGGGAACTCTCTGCATTTTGAGAAGCTTCTCGATCAAATGCATATCGACTCTTCTGCCAAAAATTACCACTGTTCAAAGCATGAACAATTAAGCCTTCACTCCCTTCCTTTTCTCCTTCTTCTTCTTCTTCTTCGTGTTCTTCGGACAGTGATATTCTGAGGCACTTCTTTGTCAGAGCTAGCAGTGCTTCCTCTTGACTGACGACTTTGGACCAGGTCGCAGTATCTCTGGCCGTCATCTTATCTTGTAAAGACTTGGATTGTGTCACCAGCTTCCTCAGTCTGTTCAAATCAGGAGACATGTGCTTTATGACTGCGGCCAAGACAGAGACTTTCCAGGCCTTTTTCAGATCGTGGGGCTTCTTATAAGGCGGAGGACCATGTTCCTGGGCCATCACTCCTTGCTCGCCCCACCAAATTTCGTTACCGCTGGGCCACCACGGAGGAGCCAGGCCTCTCTCCAGAGGAAATTTCCTCTGAGGAGGTGCACAGTGCTGCATGAGAGCAGAAAGCAGAGAGCCCAACGTAGTATCCTGCAATTCGTGAAGCAGGTGCATGCAGGAGGCCGGGTCCGCCTGAGCCTTTTCAACCAGGGGCAAGTGCTTAGCAATGGCAAGAGGGGCATTTTGGTCAAAGCGCACTTGTTCTTTCCACCACTCCCTAAGGCTGTCCGAGGAACCGGTGACCGGCTTTCCCTTCTGGGGGACAATCCCGTAAACAAAACCTTGACCGTTGCAGACTTCCATGATCTTCGCCATGTATTTGAGGATCGAATCTTGTGCTCTCGCCAGCTTCTTCCGTCTGGATGCTTCTTGTTTTGCGTTCTGGTCGGGTTCATCTCTGAGACGTTTATCCTTGAGCTTCTGTAGAAGCATCCGGTCCTTCCACATGCGCTTCTTGAGCTGCTCATAGTCGATATCTTCTTCGGCTTCGACTTCCTCTTCAGTTTCTGCACGACTAGAGAACGAGTCATTCTCTTCCAGGAGCTCAACCATGACTGTGGCAGAGATTGAAGTTACTTGTACGTAGATGAGATCTCATGAGTTACAGGATATCACGTGATGAAATAGAAGGCGATGGTTGAGAGTTAAAATATATAGAGAAGGACGAAGAGGCGGTGGTGGGAAGAGGACAGGGAAGGAAGGAGAGGGGATGATAAATTGCGATGGAGGAAATGGTGGAAACAGAGGCGCGTGTGAGGTGTTTTCGTCAGGGATGACGCGAATATTAATTGCGTTGCAAATGATATCACCATCTTCTCCCCTCTGCATGCCATGCTCTCTGCCCTCCGCCATATCGGGAGACCTGTGACTTTTCAGACAACGAACGGGCACGGTTCTGATTTTGAAGGTTGTCGACAAAATCATACGAGAGAAATATAGAGATGATAAGCATTACTGCATGGTACGTCTTGGAATCACAGAGGGAAGTCGGAGAAGAAAGTCTGAGATACTAAATCTCCACCTGTTTCCCAGTCTACGGAAGAAAGGTTTGCTGAGATAATTAAAACGTGCCATATGCCCAGTGATAAGGATTGACCAGATGTGATTGCCACCCGTCAATTGCCTACAATGCCACACTCTTCTTCACTTAATGACGGGCCATTGGCTACTAATATTTTAAGGAGATTCTGAGAAGCTCACTCCCTCGTTATTTGGGATCAATCGTACAAAGAAAAAAAAAAGAAAAATTGATGGAGATATTGATCATAGAATTCAATGGTTTAAATGGAGAAAAGCCACAAAGTTATCTATGATTGGAAAGTTAAGATGAAAAGAAAGTTTTATAGCACTGCTATAAGACCGACAATGCTATATGGCTGCAAGTGTTGGGCTTTAAAAAGACGACATGAAATAAAGTGGCAGTTGCTGAGATAAGAATGTTAAGATAGATGTGTGGTAAAAGACAAGATCTGTAATGAACATATAAGAGGAAAAGTTAGAGTGGCTGCTATTGAGAAAATAGTATAAAACTGTTTGAGATGGTCTGGTCACGTGCAAAAAAGACCTTGGGATGTGCCGGTATGAAGATTGAGCAAACAGTATGTAGTCCTCTAAAAAGAGTAGAGGAAGGCCAAAGACAACGCTTAATGAAGTCATGAGAGAAATCTTTCAGTTAACAATCTATCTAAAGATTTGGCTTTGGATAAGGCCCAATGGCGTCGTGCGATCTATATGGCTGACCCCACTTAGTGGGATAAGGCTTTGTTGTTGTTATTATATAGATCGGCGCTGCTATTTCTGAGTGTTGGGGGGAGTTTAAAATAAATGATGTATCATTCAAAATACTAACTGCGATTGAGCAGAAATACACCATTTGATTTGATTATGGATTCTTATGATCGTATCCTTAATTAATTAAGGAATTTTTCAATCACCACCCAAAACATTTCCATTAACAGGTAATAAGAATCAGTTTCAGTGCTCATAATAACTGAAACCGATTCCCAGGTGATAGTGAAACAGGATAGCTAGCAATGAGCTCTCGTACTCTCTCTTACTCCTGTGATGAGATGTATTTATTGGAATTGAGAATGTGCTTTAAAAGGTGTTTGAATGAAAATCAAATCATATTTTTGGTTTTAGAAGCGATTTTAAAATATACAAAATAAAATTATAGAGGAGTTTATCTCAATTTATAAAAAAATACTTTTAAAAAGTATTTTTAGATATCCAAACACCTATTTAATCATTACCCTGGGCATTTTACGTTTACACAAGCGTTTTATTCCTTTTAACGTGCTACACTTCATATATTTCAGGCAATAAAATTCTGTTAATTTTTTTATTTGTATGTGAGCTATTTTATTATTTACTTACACTTCTTAAATGTTCAGAGTTGGACAGATAAAACATTATCTTTGAAACGAACAAAGGGTATATTTTAAGCATGTAAAGGTTCGGAGAATTGAAATTTTATGTTCCAAATGCAAGAATCTTTCTTCAAATGACATAACATGACAACATTTCGTTGTTCATGCATTTTTCTTGGAGATGAACCAACATGTTCCTTAGGGAGAGAGAGGGTTATTCGAAACAGAGGATTCTGCCCGGAAGCGCGACATGCATATTTCATCTCAGCGGAGGGGATTCAATGAAAGTTAGATGTTTTGAATATTGTAAGAACAACCCACCGTATCTGCTAAAAAATTGTAAACGATGACACATGAAATGGGGACATCTCGTATTTTCTTCCTGATCGAATATATGATAAGCATGTTTGAAGGTGGCCAAGAGTAAGCATGACTGAACAGAATAAAGGAACAGCAAAGGGGGTTCAAGAAAATAAATAATACTGAGTAAAATTGTGAAACAAAAACCAATATCAAGAACAATCAAGTCTTGCAACCCGAAGCACCCCTTTTTGAAAGAACCAAGCACCATTTTATATACAAGTAACCAATGCTGGCTTCACCGCCACAGCTGCAAAGCAAATAGTACATGCCAGTTTTGTCCACTTTCAACAATCATACTTTTCCGAGATAACCTTTCATGATTCTCTCATCTGCACTCGACATTAACAAAACTTCTAGAATCTAAATTTATCCAATTTCTGGTGTATCTCCACGAGTTTATTAGAATCCCACGAATTGGGTGTACTCCGAGTAAGCCGACTGCATGGCAATAGGGGCCCGTATAACATGATCTGGGAGATCAAAAGCATTCACAAGTTCCCTTGCAATATTCCTCACTTGGAAACTTAGATAAGTCGTGAGCTTCTGGATTGCCTACCAAATGAAACAACTTCATCAATCCACATCTTTGACAACAAAAGCAATGTGCAAATATATCCATTGCTATCCTAGGTAAAAACCTCCCTGCTGCGCTGACGCAGCTGGATTTTAGGTTCCCCAACAAGGTAATAATTGTCCAAAAGCAAGATTTTATCCCCAGAGGAAACCCATGTTCAACAAATTCTGTAGAGAAAGTTTACAAGTCCGCAAGTCTGAATCATAAAATTTTATATCACATCTTATCTAATTTCAAAAAACTTAAAACTTTTATGACAGTGAGCTAGCACATACTCTGAAGTTCACTGGTTCCTAGACACCGAAGATTTTGGTTTTTGACTCTCTAAACACATCATCAACAAAGGTGTCAGCATACCTTGGCCTTATTGGGTGCACATAATCAACATTACGGTAGGTTCCTATGTCGTTCCAAATACTATCCAGGGCATAAAGATCACAGACGAGCTTAAGAGCTGCCTTGGAACTTGGGTCAGAACAGCTGATACAGAAACAAACCATGTTAAACACAAAACAGATCTTCTTTAAACTATAATAATAACAACGGAGAACATAATGCAGATAGTAGGAATTAGAAAGCACCTCTGCACAGATTCAATAAATTTAGCAAGGATGACGGACTCTATATGTGACTCTGCAAGTGTCAAAAGGTGATTTAAGCATCTATTCCATGCACCAAAGTTCCCAAGAGTTTTAGAATGCTTGCGAAGTCGTACAGCGACACTTTGAAGCAACTTGATGTGCGTAGGTACTGTAATGTGAAGATTTACATAAATATAATCCATTTCATTCACCATGTAGTGTATTGTAAACAGGGAATGAAGATGACACTCACTCTAAAAGCATCCAACTGGAACTGAGGATTTCGTAAATGCTCTTCCCCTTCCCACCGAGTAATCACCGGATTTGGTTGGGAGAGATATGTGTTCATGGATTCTTTCAAGTAATTCCACGTGACTGCAAAAGTCCCACCTTGAAACTTCTGCTGGTATTGTTTCAGTAGATCAGCTGCAACCTGCATTTGCAATAGGAAAAAAGGGTATTCATGCCACAGGAACCATTAACAGAGCTTTGACAGAACATTTGGTTTTCATTATTGAGCTTGCTCTTTCCGATTTAAGAATGTTGTCATGAAGGAAAATGTAAACTGTCACTACTTGTAAACCTCAAATGTAGAAAATCACAAAGGGGATTGAAATATAGAAAGCAACCTACAAAATCACATGTTGGTGACTGAGTCATAGACTCATGTTTCTTATATCTTGTTGGTTCTCAAGCAAAACAAACGTAAGGTCTGCTTCACTAATGTTTCTGACAACAAATTATATGGGTCTAGCCAGTACCTGTTGGAGAAGAACTGTGTTGTCCCCTTCAAATGTCTGAAAAATGTCATGATCATTCCTCAAGCTACCAAACCGATTTACAGCAGCATAACCATGGCCTCCACAGGCTCCCTGCAGGTGCTCAGTGACTTTGCGGTATATGCGGTCACATAAGCCTTAAGACCTGCTGAAAGAGCATGGACATCTCCAGCTAATGCCTCATCATGAGACTTCTTCATTTCTGAATATTTTTCCACTAAATACGCAGTGGCGAAATGAAATGCGTAAGTTGAAGCCAGCATTGGCATAAGCTTGTGTTGTTGAGATTGGTAATCAAGAATACTAACTTCAGGCTGGTTTGGAGGTCCAAATTGCTGACGAAGTAGAGAATATTGAATGGCAATTGTGGCAGCAACCTTCAGGACACTAACAGAAGAATATGCAAGCCCCACCCTACCACCTACAAGCTCCCCTAATGTTGCAGCAAACCGTTTGTTTACAGAAGGAAGGCTACTACTGTACTTCCCATCACGAGAGACATCTCCAAACCTATTCAGAAGATTATCTCGAGGTATTCTTACTGAACGAAATCTTAATGCTCCATTATCTACACCGTTTAATCCAATTTTATGACCACAATCATGTATCTCAATTCCTGGAAGTGTCTTGTGAGTCTCCATATCCCTTATAGGGACGATAAAAGCATGGACACCCATATCAGAAACACCTTTCGAATCATAAGTTGGTAATAAAAGCCTAGCAAAGACAGTGGCAAATTTTCCATGAACTGCAGCATTGCCGATCCACCATTTGATGGCACCATCAGTAGGTGTATCGATGACGAACTCATCAGTGATCGGATCAAAAGTGGCAACTGTTTGGAGGCCCTGCACATTCGAACCTTTTAAGCACAAAAATAGCAGTT